GAGAGAGAGAGAGAGAGAGAGAGAAAGAGAGAGAGAGAGAGGGGGGAGGCAGTGGGGAGAGATATAACTTAGGAACTGTGAGTGTACATGTGATCAGTAAAAGTCCGACAAGGAAGTAAAAGGCCAAATAGCTTTATGGGAGAAAACTGTCCAAATGTAACCAAAAACACATGCCCCAAAGCCACGTGTGTGTGTGTGTGTGTGTGTGTGTGTGTGTGTATTAATGCACATATCTTGTCAAATGGCAACAAACATATTATCCCTTCTAGAGTAAGCCTGTCAATCAAGGGGCACCCTCACAGTGCCTGCAAACTTTCCATGGGAGAGGTGTATGTGTGTGCAAAGCTGTGCAAAGACATCATAACATATTTAAAACTGCCTCAAAGGGAGTGGTTGTGCTACAAACAAAACAAGAAAGAACTATATCTATACAGTGGTCTCTTATGTTGAGGGTAGTGGTCTCTTGTGATGAGTGTTGAGGGTGGGGGTGGGGAGAGGGTAGGGCTCAGTGGGAGAGCCCTTGCCTGGCATGTGCAAGGTCCTAAATTCCATCCCCAGCATGTGCGTGCGCACACACATGCACACACATCCACACACACTCACACATTTGTGGAGCAGAGGTGATATTACCCGGTTTCTCTTTTCCAATAGTTTCATGTGTGTATGGGGGTGGTGTGCACCTGTGTACAAACACAGAAGCCAAAGGACACCTGGTTTCCTGCTATTACTCTCCACGTCATCTCAGGAGACGCTCTCTCACCGAGCCTAGAGCTAGACCAAGCTCCATCATGCTGGGCTTATGCTTAGATTATTACGTGGGTGATGGAGATTTGAACTCAGGTCCCCATGCTTGCACAGCAAGCACCCTCATCCATTGAGCCATCTCCTGTTTTTTTTTGTTGGTTTTTTTTTTTTGTTTGTTTTTTTCTTTGCTGCTCTCAATATTTTGTCATAGTGTAAAATGTTTGGGGTTGGGTTTATACATTACTATCTTTTTCATAAAAAATAAGATACATTTTATAAACTTTATCCCAAAGAAAACTACTCGATACCCAGAGTTAACTGGCCTGGCTGGTGGTTACTGCCAAGGGTAGTATACAGATCTCTATGGCGGTTTTCTGTGGTTCTCCTGGGGTCCACAAAGGTAGCCTGCAGAGCTACGCCCCAGTAGTGCCAATGTTCGGCGGCCATCCCCTCGGAACCTTGACAGGCCCCGTGACATTCAGAGCCAGCCAGCACACAGCTGAGCCCCTTACTTACTCTGCCTCCAGTAGGCTGTTGAGAAGGGTGGCCTTTTCCTCTTGGAGCTGTGTCAGCTTTTCCTGCATTCGGATGGCCTCTCGCTCTGCCTCCTGTGGGGACCGAGAGAGCGTGGTGATGGCCCATGGAGTCCCTCAGGACTGGCAACATTCTGACCCCTCCACAAGCCCGTCCAGGGAATCTGCCCAAATCAAGGAGGTGTGTGCCTGCCAGAGTGCTGGCTGTCTGCCATGCCCTGCCCTGCCAGCGGCGGCGACTGAGGGTTTGGTGGGCGGTGCCAACCTTCAGTGTGCACACAAACTCAGTCTCCACCAGCTGGTTGCTCTGCTGCAGCTGTTCCGAGTTGCACCGGTTCTTGTCCATCAGCACGTTGAGCTTGGTCAGGTCTTTGTCCAGGTCCTTCATGTGACAGTGGATCTCCTTTTGTTCTTTCTTCTCTTGCTCAATCTTGTCTGCGGGAGTACGGGCAGGTGGGATGAAAGCTGGAGGGTCAGGGGTCCTAGGCAGGCAGCAGCCATGGCCTCTGTGGATCCCTCCCTGCCCTGTCAGATGCAGTCCTGTGCCCGCCCCTCCATGGAGAGGAGGCTGGGTCCCTTCCAGGAGTTTCCCAAAGCCTGCAAGTACCTCGTGCTGCAGAAGCACAGGCCGAGAGCAGGGGTAAGTGGAGTTCAGATGCATGGGCATCTAGGGACCGCTGGCAGGCCCTTTGCTTCCACTACCTGGCCTTAGGGCAGGGTGGGAAGGATAAAGACGAAACATGTTCTTGCTATTTTGATGGGGGGTAAAAAAAAACCCAAAACACCAAGGCACATGACACATGGGTTCTCTGCCCCTTCCCGCACTAGTATCCCTGGCTGGCTTGGAGCTGGGTCTCTGGACTTGCCTAGCTGATCTCACCCTTGTCAGAATGGGGGGCGGGGGGGGGGGCGGGGGCGGCAGTGTGCAGAGGGAGGCTTTGTCAGTTCTGGCTTCCCACACTGCTATTCACTGCTGGTGCCAGGCAGCCTTGGGTACTCCACACTCGCCAGTAGAGGGCTGTGAGTAGCCAAAGGCCATGAGGGGATCGCTGGGAAGCGGGCAGAAGCAGCAGCCCCAGACTGCCACGGAGCATTTAACGGACTCTCCTACCTGGACCATGTGGGACCCAGGATGTCTCTGTGGGGTGCCATGAGACACCCTACTGAGTGGTGACCCAGGAAGGACATCCTCCTGGCAGGTCCCTGGGTCTCAGAAAGGTCGCTTCACAGCACAGGGACATCCTAGTGGGACCCACCGTGCTCCTGAGGTCTGGGGGGTGGGGGGGTGGGAACAACTTTCTCTAACTCTAGTCAGGGGCAGGGGTTGAGGAGGCTGGCTGCATTTGTCTGAGTTTCACAGACCTCTGAGTCCCCTCCAAGGAGTGTTTTGTTCCCCATCCCCCAAAGACCTCAGGAGCACAGGTAAATAGCACCAGCAAACTAGATGGCTTTAGAATTTTCCTGGTTTGCTTTCTTTTCTTTTTTTTTTTTTTTGTGGGGGGGTGTTTCGGAGACAGGGTTTCTCTGTGGCTTTGGAGGCTGTCCTGGAACCAGCTCTTGTAGACCAGGCTGGTCTCGAACTCACAGAGATCCTCCTGCCTCTGCCTCTGCCTCCCGAGTCACCAATGCTCGGCTGCTTTGTTTTTGTTTTGAAACAGGGTCTTGGGACTGTGGGTGTGTGGCTCCT